TTTAGGCTCCATAAATGCCCTCACATCTGCTTGGCTGCACATAGGAAAAAGGCAGTAGGTGTAGAAATCCCAAGCTGCATGGGCTTGTAGAGTTGTTTCCCAATTTGAACTTGATCTCCTTCCTTGATTTGGAGATAGACTTCCTCTAGGAAAAGGAAACCGATTGTCCCCAATACCTATTTAATTCTGCCTTAAGTAGGGGATTAAATAAATTTGGAGAACAATCATCATTTTAACAAGGAAGAGATAAGCTAGAGGAAAAATTTTCCCCATTCCCTAACTTTCTTCTTCTCTTGTCCTTGCAAAGAGTCGTATGTCGTTATTGTTCTTCTTCTCTGTGTCGTACCAAGGTAAGAAAAATTTGAATTTTCTTCTTCTTGAATTTTTTTAGGAGTCTTGGGACTTGAAAAATTGGCTCAGTTGGAACCGATGATATAGGTGACACACAACAAGGAAGCCACGGGCCTGCTAGCGGTGTAATGCAGGGAGCGACTGGCGTGAGCTAAGTGGTCGGCTCGGCTCGGGCCGAGATGGCTAGTGCGCTGAGCTTGGTGAGCCGTGAGGCTCTAACCCATCTGGGCTGAGCTTAGCACAAGCCAAACATGGTAAAGCAGACTCGGGTTTGCTATGATGGGTGGAAGAGAAAGAAAAACCAACATGGGCCGGGCCCCTCTTTCTGACAGATTAGGCTGAAAGGCCTTGGGCCTCGCTGGAGCTTAAAGGAGAGGGAGAGAGGCACGGGGCGCTCGCCCCCTCGTTGATGGACTGAGCTATAGATCATTGGGCTTGCTTGGAGCGCTGAAAGCGCGAAGAGGAAATAAGGGATGTACATCGCGTGTTGAAGGAGGGAGAGTAGGGCTGTGGGGCTTGGAACTGGAGCACTGGGCTCTACAGTCCTTTTTTTTTGTTTTTTTTCTTAGCTGCCTTCTAAATATTTTCCTTCTTACTTTTGGCAAAGATCTTGAGTTGTCTTCCTCCAATCGTAAAAGTGACGAGTATCCTCCACCTTTGTACAATCAAGGTGGTTTTTCCGACAAGGCGGGCAATTTCAAGGCTGCACATATCAAGATCAATTTCAACGAGTTGTTTTGGGATTTTCTTGAGGCGTACAAGCATGCGATTTCATCAGGGGTTCGCGTCAAGCAGGTGAAGGATGATAGAGGTCATGATCCATAAGTTGAAGGTGCCACTGCCAAAGAGGGCTATCAAATTCCATTCGTATTACTTCGTGTTGGGATTTACTTTTCCTATGCCATGTCTTTTTCAAGAGGTGATTTGCTCCATGAAATGCATGCCTTCTCAATGATCCCCGAATACAATTCGTGTGATTGTGGGGTTTTTCAACTTAAGCAGGTTATTCGATCTTAGCTTGGCCATAAATGAGTTCTCGTACTTCTTTAAAATCGGCCACAAGGAAGGCGTAGGGCAACTGAGATCTGGTCATAGGTTACTGGATGCTCTTTGCAAAGGTGATCATAAGTGGGCGATAGACATCTTAGAGGTAAGTGGAGATTGGGAGTTTGACTCCTCTACTGAGCTGTGCGTTCTGACTATCTTTATTAGTGGTAAGTGAAGTGCTTCACTCTTGACCTGCTTGAATTTTTGTTGAGCTGCTCCATGACTTCAGTTTACTGATCGTCTTTCTTACTTTGTGTAGATTCAGAATTTGGCTCAACTCCAAGAACTTCGGCAGATATAAAGAAAGTGCACATCATCTTGGGCATTCCTGTTGAGTATCGTGAATGGTGTTGGCTGCTCAATTTTTTCATTGGGAAAAAGTCGAGCTGCCTCCAAATGAAGAGATAAAGTGGATAAAAGATGAGGCGCTTACTTGTCCGATCGCTATTGCAAAGCCTGCTGCTAATGAAGGTGGAAAGAAAAAAAATCTTCCTCACCTGTTTGTGAACCTTTGGCCGAGAAAAAGTTGAGGACTTTTGCTGCTGCTCACGGGGGCTCGTATACTGCTGAAAAGCTTGTCATTAATCTGACTTCTCCCAAGGGGACGAAAAAGTCCATTGAGATTGAGTCTGTGAAACCTGCTGCTCTGAATGTGGCCACGACCATGGCTGAGAGGATTGCCCAGTGAAAAGGTTCGGTGGTGCCTCAATGTCCGGGTTCATGTCGAAACGTGCGTCGGGAGCTAAGTCCAGTTCGGTTTCTGAAAGACTCGCAACTATGAAGAACGGTAAGGTGGATTATGCTGGAAAGGTGGCACTTAGGCCTGTCCCTCCTCCTATTGCGACTAATTCGTTTGCTGAGAAGGGGAAATCTGCTCGCACGGGTAGTTGTGAGAGATCCACTGAGTTTGAGGCTGAAGAGTTCCCTAAGGTTTGTACAATGTTGAAGGCTGACCGGCTTAAGGACGTTGATGCATACGCCAAGTTCGTTGACAATGTTAGGAAAGTTGTCATCTGCTCAGGCTCTCTTGCGAAGCGTTTTGCCTACTCAATGAGTCATTCCTAATTGCTACAATGCATAAGACTTTGATCCTGACAGCTGAGTCTATGCACGTTAACCAGGATGTTGTCAATTATGCTAAGGAGGCCGAAATGACGTTGGTGGCTCAATTTCGCTCGGCTACTAAAAAAATTGAGAAGCTCGAATTTGAACTTGCTGTTTTGAAAGGGTCTGATGTCTCTGCCCCCACTTCTATGCAGTTGGAAACCGCTCATCAGAAGGTCACCCATTTGAAGACTAAACTTAATGCAACTCAAGTGATGTTGGAAGCTACAGAAAAGGAAGTCAGTCGTGCTTCTTCGGTGGTGAAGAACCTTGAGTGTGTTGATTCGGAGCTACAATCTGCTTATTTCGCCAAGGATGAGGAACTCATCTTCATGCATGTTGAAGTGTCTCATCTCAAGGATGTTGCCAGTAAGCTTGAGTCCAAGGAAGTGGATTTGCAAGGTGCGATGTATGCTAGCGAGAACCTGATAAAGGAACTAGATAAGTTGCAGGGTGCTCACACTGGGCTTGTTAAGGAGAAAATGCAACTGAAGGATGAAAAAGCTGGTCACGAAGTGGCGCTTGCTTCTTGTCAGGCCTATTTTTACAAATTTGGCTATGTAGACCATCTTCAGGGTAGGCTGTCGAATTGTGAGTTTTCCAAGAAAAACTTCGAGACTTTCTCTAGTTCTGCAGTTAATCTGCTTGATTTCTTGTTTGAGGCTGCCTTTGGCAGAGCAGTTGAGAGTCAAGCAGTCCAAGCAAGGGTGGTTGAGGATAAGTTAATGGAAGCTTTGGCTGGTAAGAGCGACGCAGCTACTGAAGGTGTGGTAGTTAAGGGACTAGTGGTTGCGCAGGCTGCTAATGAGTAGTCTTTTTGTTTAGACTTAGGAACTTTCTTCTTTTCTTTTTTGTTCTACTTTCTTTGAACTTTACTGGCCTTTAAGCCGGTTTATCAATTTGCTAGAAATTTAATAAACAGCTTTCCTCGTTTTGCTTCATATTTCTATTTCACCATGTCTTTTGCAATACTTTACCATAGGACAGGCGGCTAGGTAAGCTACTTCGATGAAGTAGTCAATCCCACGTTGTTTCTTTAGGCTATAGTCTTGGCTTTGATGCTCAATAAGCTTTACCTGCAAGAGGAAAAAGGTGCGAGACTTTTAACTTATAGAGCCAGGGGCCGAACTCGTTGCCTTCATAGGAAGCAGGTGAGTTTGCGTAGCTACTATAGTCATGAATCTCGACTTTAGTGGCTTTATGAGCTTCGGCCCTCCCGGGGCGTGTTACGAAGTTTTTAACTTATAAAGCTAGCGGCTAGACACTTGCTTCTCATATAAAGTAGAGGAAATCCGTGTAGCTGCTATAGTCGTACTTCGGCTTTAGTGGCTTCTCGAGCTTTGGCCCTCCGAGGGCATGTTGCGAAGTTTTTAACTTATAGAGACGGTGACCTAGCACATGTTTCTCGTAGAAAGCAAAGGAGATCTGTATAGCTGTTATAGTCGTACTTCGGCTTTAGCTCTCGTAAAACTTAAATCGTAGACCATCGGCCAGAAACACTACTTTTAAGTAAGCATAGTCATAGCAGGTGTAAGTCTTGGCTTACAAATTACCTTGGGTTGTCAGTCGTTGGGTCATCGGCGAGGCATCTTACTTGCAGAAGAAGATGACCCGCGTGACTACTTCAAGCGTCGTCCTTAGCTCTTGGATGCATTTTAGGCCTAAGGTATAGGTAGAATCGCACCTCAGAGGCCATATCCTTATGCGTTGTGACTTGATTTCGCAGGTCGCTTAACTAGTATTGCAACACTATAAAACCAATCTACGTTCATGAAGACTTGCACATCGAGGACGGACCATCTAGTTACGCGAACTCTTTCATGGGCAGGAATCCTACACTTAGTGTTTCTTCCGGTTAAAGAATTGGGAGCCCACGAAATTGAATCCTTCAGTAGGCTAAGTCTATTATAGGATAAGGACTATCTTAGCCAATTCTAGGAGTCGTCCGGCTTAGGCAGTCACTGCATTCAGGGGAAACTGAGCAATCATACCACCCATCCACGTCTGGATATTCCGGATTAGTTTACCCTCTCCTAATTAGAGAGCACATGCCATGTTTACAAGGGTAAGGGTGTCTTCTGCTTGTCACAAAGGTGGTCAGTTTGTTTATTCATTCAGCCAAAGCTTGTGAATAATTCCTTCAATCTTCATTGAAAATAGAGAAATTTATTAACTTTGATGGTAGGCAGTAATGGCATAACAACTGATAATCCTCATCATGCAAGGTCTTGTTCGTTGAGCTACTTAACTCTTCGAACTCTATTTTTCTTGAATGAGGTCCAAGGAATGGTGGGAGGTTACATGTAGTACTTTCTCAAGTTGTAGGCATTCAACTGCTTGTCGATTTCTTTATCGCTCATAGTGGTAAGAGTATAGCTGCCCTTTCCGCCTACTCGGCTAATTTTGTGCGAACCTTCCCAGATGGGAGCCATCTTTTTGGAGCCTTCCTGGCAAACAATGATGAAGGTTTTTCTGAAGACTAAGTCTCCTGGCTGGAACTACGGGGTTTTTGCCCTTTTGTTGTAGCTAAAGAGGAGCTGCTGCTGATAAGCAATAATGCGAGTAATAACCTTCTCTCGCTCTTCCTCTACCAAGCCTAAGTTTGTGGCCATCTCATTCTCGTCCTGCTCCAAATTTAGTAGTACAATACTGATGCTTGGCACCATGACGTTGGGAGGAATAATTGCCTCAGAGCCATACACTATGGAGAATGGAGTTTCGCCAGTTGCTCGTCTCTTAATGGTGCGATATGCCCATAGAAAATTGGGGAACTCATCTAGCCACTTGTCATTCTTGTCTGAAAAGAACTTTTTAAGGCAATCGAGGATGGTCTTATTCGAAGCCTCAACTTGCCCATTGCCCTGCAAATACCAAGGCGTGGACATGTGGTGCTTGATTCCATATTTAAGAAGGTCTTTGCCCACGAATTGCGAACAATTGTTTGTGACAATAGAGTGAGGGATGCCGAAGTGGCAAATGATATTCTTCCATATAAAGCACTATATGTCAATCTGGGTAATTGTAGTTATGGGTTCAGTTTCTACCCATTTCTAAAGTAGTCGATCGCTACTATCATCATGCCTCTGCCCTCAGTGGCAAGTGACATTGGTCCTACCAGGTCAATCGCCCACTGCATGAATGGCCATGGGCTCGTCTGTGTAGAGTTCGATGGTAGGTAGTGCGAGCATGAGCTTAAAGCATTAGTAGCTGACACATTTTTGTACATACTCCTTGGTGTCTTGATGCATGGTTGGCCAGTAGTAGCCAACACTAAAAGCTTTTTGCACCAATGAACGGCCTCCAAAATGGTTTCCACAGACGGCTTCATGGATTGAGCTAAGAATCTTTAGGTCATCGAGAGGCGATAGGTAGCAAAGATGTGGTCCTGAGAAGGATCTGCAAGCGAGCATGCCATTCCATATGTAGTAGTGTGCTGCCTTCATCTAAAGCTTCCTTGACTCCAATCTATCTGCAGGGAGCATTCCGTTGACTAAGTAGTCAATGATAGGATTCTACTAACTCGAAGTTATGTTGATTTGCGCCACCTTGACTAATGGTTCCTCATCTATGCTCGGCTTCTCCAAGTATTCGATTGGGATAAAGCGCTTGAGCTAATGGTCTAAGGCAAAGTATAAGCCTGCTAATGCGTCTGCATGGGCATTTTCTGCACATGGAACCTGATTAAGTGTGTGCCTGGAACGTCACTAACTGCTCTCGTACCTTCTCGAGGTATCAGGCCATCCTTGGATGCTTTGATGCGTACTTTCTTGAGGTTTGGTTGATGATCAACTAGCATTCAGAATAGATCGTGAGCTTCTTCATCGCTAAATCTTTCGCCAATCAGAAACCTGCTAGTAGAGATTCATACTCTCCTTCGTTGTTTGATGTCTTGAAGCCTAAAGTGATCGCCTGCTTGAGCATCGAACCTTCTGAGGTAAAAAGAACTAGGCATGTTCCCGATCCTTGGTAGTTGGATGATCTATTGACCTGCAAACGCCAAAAATCTCCTACAGGTGGGGTTAATGCGTCTACGACATACTCAACTACCTTCGGGGCGCTTTCAAGCTGAGTTGATGTGTCATTCAGGCTTGGGGTGAATTATAATACGAATTCCACCAATGCTTGGGCTTATATCACTATGCGAGGTTGATATACTAAGTCGTATTAGCCAAGTTCTAACACCCACTTCATCACTTGTTGAGAACCATCTGGATTATGCAAAACTGATTGCAATGGGTACTGGGTCATGACGATGACCAATTGCCCTTGAAAGTAGGGTCTAAGCTTCCACACTGCAACAACTGGCAAAATTAGCTTTTCAATCTTTGGGTATCTGGTTTCTACATCGAGGAGAGATTTGGATGTATAGTATACAGGCAGTTGGCCCCCCAGCTCTTCTCATATGAGAGTAGAGCTCACTGCTACTTTTAATACTGCCAGATAGATGTATAAGTTCTCTGCTGCTTCCGGCTTGGATAGTAATGGAGGTGATGTTAGGTACTACTTCAGGTCCTGAAATGCTTTCTCGTACTCGTTGTCCCATTTGTCCTTTTGCGCCTTTTTGATCGCATTGAAGAAAGGCTTACATCGGTCAATGGATCGCGAAAAGAAATGATTGAGTACGGTTACTCGTTTGGTTAGACTTCAGATATCTTTCAGAGTTATAGGAGACTTCAAGTCCAGGATCGCTCTGATCTGCCTTGGATGAGCCTTAATTCCTCGCTGGGTTACAAGATACCTTAAGAATCGGCTTGAGGAGATGTCAAAAGTGCACTTAGCTAGGTTGAGCTTCATTTTGTACTCTTAAAGGATGCCAAAACTCCTGCCAAGTTGTCAATGTGGTCTGGCCGATACTTCTTAAACATCGTGTCTACGAGTCGTTGGTAGGTTTCTTCTGCGTTCTTGAGGCCAAATGGCACCTTGTAGGAGTATGTGCCTCACTTGATCACGAATACGATTTTCTCCTTGTCAGGCTCGAGCATGGTAATCTGATTGTAGCCTGAGTATGCGTCCAAGAAGCTGAGCAGCTGGTTCCCAAATGTTGTGTCAACGAGCAAGTCGATTTAGGGAACCGAATAGTCCTTGGGGCCACCTTGTTGAGGTTAATGTAATCCATGCATACTCTTCATTCACCCTTATCTTTTTTCTTCACCAGCATAACGTTGGCTAGCCATGCTAAATGCACTATTTCCTCAATGAATCTGGCCTCTAGTAACTTGTCGATCACCTCCTCTATAATCGCTACTCGCTCGGGTGCAAAATGTTGCCTTTTTTGGATCACAGGTTTGGTATTGGGATCGACGTGGAGCTTGTGGCAAGCTATCGCTGGATCAATACTGAGCATGTTAGAGGGTAACCATGTGAAAACGTCATGGTTTTCCCTAAGGAAAATTGTGAGTTCATCCTTCTCCATCAGGCTCAGAAGTGAGACAATTCTAGCAATCTTTTTCAGCTAGTTGGGGTCAAGAATAATGTCCTTGGCATCATCTTTGGGTTTCCATCCTAATTCATCTTCCAGGGCATTGTCAACCTCGACGCCATCTTCTTAACCTACTTGATGTAATTGTTATTTGGTGGAGGTAAAATCGTCTTTCTGCACTTCAGCTGCTACTTCTGGGGTGAAAGACTTCTTCATCGTCTCCTTAAGAACTTGTACAGTGCATCGCTGAGACATGGCATAGTCGCCTTTGATCTCTTTAACTACCCCTCTCAGGATGCAAAATCAGATCTTCTGATACTCAATCGAGGTCACAGCTTCAATCTTCACTCACCAAGGTTGGGCAGCTGGTCTATCAACATACTGGTCGCACTTGCCTTCCTTCACGAGCTACTCAAGTTATTTCTTCCATGTGATGTAGTTAATGGTTGTGTGCCCATGACCTCTATCGAATATGCAGTACTTTGTCTAGTCTATCTTGGAGAGGTATGGATCTGGTTGATCGGGACTGAGAACTTGGTGTACGTCTTAGGCGCCATGCCTCATTTCATTAGAGATCGGTCCCTACATCTGCTTCCTGGCTTACTTTCGTCGTTGAGCGGCTTATCGCTTGCCTTCTTATGAGTTAGCTCTACATCTTTGCGCGAATACTCAGACGGCTTCTAAGAGCGTTTGGCCTCATCCAAGAGGGAGAAAGCATAAGAATGCCGGGGTCAAGTTCTTGCCCATGATCAATTCTCCAAAAAGCGGGTGATCTACTTGAAGCCCCTTTCAAAAGATTGAGCATGCAATGCTATCATCGCATCCGACGATCTTTGCCTTCTCCACCTTGAACCTCTTGATGTATTTGCGGAGTGACTCCTTCGGGTCTTTCTTCATGCTGAAAATGGTCAGGCTTCTTCTTGATCAAGCGGTAAGATGAATATTCCTTAGTGAAAACCAAGGAAAGTTCGCTGAAGTTCCGAATTGATAAGGGAGGAAAATGAGGAGATACACAACATCAAAGAGGAGGATGAGTCCTCAACCTTGAGCCATTTCTAGGTTCTAGCTTTCCTAACTTTTTATGTATTTTGTTATCTTTTTAATTTAGTTTATGGATACTTCAAGCTGCTTTGAAGCCCTAGACATGATTGAATTAATGTTATGATGCTATTTTAGTTTATTAATTTCATTTGAAAGCTAGAATTAGTTTTCTGTCTCAATTGTTTCAAGCACATATTTTCAAGCTTAACTACCTTGTTTATGTTTGCTTTCTGTTGAGGATGATAAGGGTGACTACCATATCTTTTTTCATTCCTTAGCAACATGTGGTTACGTTCAGAACTAAACATGTAAGCTAATTCCATGAAAATATAGGATAAATGCCATGTTCTAGAGTTCATATGATGTTCGTAATCCTCTTCGTTCTTAATGAGTTTCTAGGTGCTAAATCTGAGTATATGCCATGCTAAGTTACACCTACATATATAAATTTGATTTATATGCCATGCATCTTACATGCAAAGAAAGTGAGGATTCATACAATCTAGTTATATGCCATGCTAGATATGTGAACATCTTAGTTATGCATTTCAAATGGATAAGTTAAAAGATCATCTCATTGATTCACGAATGTTTAGGGGAAGGTCTTAGCTCATTTTAAGTCAGATTTATGTCCTAATAACGTTTCTAACCAATTTCATGTATTAGGTTTGTTTTTAGATAGTTCTAATTTTTCCTTTTTCTTTCTGTCTTTATTTCTTTTCCAAAATTACTTAAACCCCCCAATTTTAAATCATATGAGTCATTAACTGATGATAATATGTAAAAGTCAAAGGTTTTACTAAGTTCTTTATCAGTCTCTATGGTTTGACACCCTTACTTATGCCACTATACTATCTTTATATTTACACTTGAAAGGAACTTCAACAGAAACTCCAACTGCCTCTGGTGTTGACCTGTTGTTCCATATTGCTTTTCAGCATATCTTGCTCATCTCTGTTGTGGTTGCGGTGCACATGGTTCATTCTGTGCTGCTCTCCATTGCGTTGGGCAAGGGCTACCAATAGAACTTGAGCTAGACTGCTTTCGTGCTCTCCTCTGTCCGTCATGCAGCTGCCTACTCCAATGCCTCACAAGCGGATCTTCTTATGGGCCTAGCCTCATGTGGACACTTCTCCTGGAATTTCCTGAGTGCTCGTCGGAGTATAGACCCTTGCACACTAACTCGTGAGCCAAGTCGGGAATGAACACTTCTCTGTGCATCTAGACGAGATAAGACGTTTTTCTAAGGGCCCAAACGAGAGTGCACACTAACGGAACGTATGGTTCGTGGCTGGCTAAGCGACTCTTTGTCGGGACATCGCTAGAATAAGTAATGTTCTTCAGCCCTTGTCCTGCTTCGGGACACCTCGTCTGGGGCGCACTGCATCTCAATACGCTCGAGGCACCAAGGTGGTCTGCTGCGTGAGGGCACTCGTCAAATTGGCAACATCTTATGGCAGGAAATGCTCGCCATTTGGATTAGAAGAGTCTGGATAATGGGTGTCTCCATGTATGGTGGAAATGTAGTGGACTGCAAGTACAAAACTTGAGCCCAAAGCGGCATTCTTACAAAAAAAGTGGGGGTGAAAATAACCTTGAATCAATCACGAGATCGGTGGTCAAAATCTGGATTAGTGGAGATGGCCTTGGGTTGGATTGGGCAGCGGGCCGGGTCGTCAAAGCAAGTCGCGGAGCAGGCCAACCCAACTAGGTGGTCGGCACGTGTGCTAGAATGCGCTAGGGTGGTGCGTGAGTTGGCTGATGTTGGGCTGTGCCTTGCTCCTCGCCAGATTAGGCTCGACATGCATTAGGTTGAGCTTGGCTAGCAGCAAGCTGGGCTTGGGCCGTTTGCTGGTGGGCTGCTTTTGCTGGCTAGGCCAGCTCTGCTAAGCTCATGTGGGCCTGAACCTGCGGTGCAGCTTCGTTGGCTACTACAGTGGGATGGGCCTCTTGCCTTGGGCCTATTATGGCTACTGCCATGCCTTGTGCCTTCTGCCCATGGGCCAATAAGTGGACCTAGGCCTCCTACCCAGGGTTTTCAAGGTTCGTGGGCTGCAAGGGTAACGACGTATAAACTTGGGTTGTGGTTTGTGGCCTTACCGTGGCTACTGGGTCATAAGGTGGTGATGATACGGCTCCGCAACGGTGGGGTTCCTCTTGCCGTCGTGTTGAGCCTTCAGGATCTGCATCGTGGGGCTATGTCCTCGTCTCCATTCTCCTATTCAAATCCTTGTACGAGGTTGCGTTCGTCGTGGTTTCTTAATTTCCTACCATTGTATCCTTTCTCCAAGGATTGATCAAGAAACTTTTATAGGAAAAATTAATTGATAGGATATGTGAGAAATTCAACGTAACAAAAATTTCAAGAAACAAATGCAAGAGGCTTATTCGAGTATTTGAATCAACTCTCAATGAAACCACCAATTTGTAGATGCAAATTTTCGTCATCTTCAGTCTTGACAAAAATGCACATGCAAAACAATCAACACCTTTGATCAAAAACCTAAGCCTCACGCGCCCACAAGGTGGGGGGAGGTTAGGCCAATGGATCTTCGATGCCTAAGTCAGTTTCTCTGAGAGAGTAAAGTGTTTAGAGCTTTTTAGGGGTAGCAAAAGCTTCTAAAATTTGGTAGAATATGGGGTATGTATAGGGGAGAGGGCTGGCTACGCATAGGAGTATCTGAGGAACCAGCCCATTTATTGAGGGCAATCTTGTTTTTCTTGAGCAAAAGTACATGTGTCGTCTCTAGAATATTTGGGATTATTTTAGGTTCCACAATATGAATATATATATATATATATATCGAAAGAAAAATATAAATATAATGGGTTCATGCATCATGGGGAATGTTTTCATGCTTCGTGGATGTTTCAAATATCTTACTTTATTTTAAGTGTATCTGATTGGCAGAAAACAAATAAAAACATTTGAATTTTGTAGAACAAAACCTCCTACTACGATCCTTCAGTTCCTTAGTCTCTGATAAGAACGTGCTGATAACTTGTTATAAGCCTATTTGACTGAACTATATTTAGAACTAGAGAGGGAGTGATGTCGGCAACAAGAGAGGGACTGAATTGTG